TTTGGTATTTGGAGGCCACTCTGGTCGAGTGGCAACATAAGTGTTTACGTTGGATTGCTTCTGGGTTGCCAGCCCATAAGGAGTTGAAAATGATTTTCATACAGTATGAGTATCCTTATTTCATCGATAATTTTAAAGATGAAAGTTCAATTCACGGGTTCCGTCTTTCATGTAGAAAAGTGCTTGATATCTGTTTGTGCCATGGATCAGGTGGTCATGCAATTCTCCAGACAAAATCGGTATCTGACGTGAAGTTCGTCGTCATGCAATTGTACAATATTGACTTGCACACACTAAAGATTTAGCAGCTGATTTGCAAAAGGTCCTGCCACTATGCATGATTATAAATCATGTATTTTATCTCCAGATTAGTGGTATTTAATGAAACCTTGGCTAAAATATCTGCGGAAGATGTCGCAGTTCGTCGTAAATTATTTCCAGGAAATTCTCATCTTTAAGCCGATTTGGCTTATGCTCTATAGCAACATGTTTTAGTGCCTCACAAAGATTTTTGTAACAGACATTCAGAAAAATAATAACTTGAAACACAGTTCAACACGCATACGCATCGAATATGCTTTTAGCATTCTGAAAGGGGGATTCAGGCGGCTGAAATATATTGACATGCATTATGCTCTGCATAATATATGTCTGCATAATATATGTCTACACAATTAGACGTCTACAGCAGAGAGTATCTGAAAAAGGCTTAGTTGAAGAAGATGCTGGTGATGAAAATGCGAATTTTGGTATTTTTCCTCAACTAAATGGTGAACAAATACGCGATGTTATCAGCCTACTGCTTTTTATGTAACCTATTTGAATAAACTTGAGTAAAGAAATCATTTTGTTTTCTTTCTTCAAGAAAATGTTAAATGTGAACCACGGGTTTAGTATTATTGCATCCACGAATATACTGTTTGCGGATGGCAGGTAGTCAAATATTCGTATTTTTATTTAGAATTATTCTGTAATTAGTAATTAATGAAATCACGTCCTAACATTCCACTTTGAGTAATTCTGAAGAATCAGATTCTGACAGCATGGCTGAAGATTGCCAGTTTTCGTACTTGTTTTCAATTTGATACACGTTTTTCACAAATTTCACTAGCGACAATCAGGCTTGCTGTATCTTTTTTTTCCAACTGATTTTAATGAAATTTGGTTTTCGGGGAAGGGAGGGTTTGATTCTCCCAAATGTACAGGCCTAGGGTGGAGCAGACACTTTATTTAGAAATTAGGATTAAGGGTCTTGATATTGGGTGTTCTTCTGTTCTTATTGAATCAGGCTTGCTGTATCTTTTTTTTCCCACTGATTTTAATGAAATTTGGTGTTATCATTTATATTGATTCTTTTACATAAATACATATTTTCTTACATACACACATATACATGCACGTACATATTATATTTATAGTTCTTGCATTATTTGGTAGGTATTTGAACATTATATAATAATAAAAAAAGGGATAAAAATTACTCAATATATCTATACAAAGGAAATAGTATTGGAATAAACAAATAAATAGGCATAAAAAAAAAAACAGAGGAATAACAATTTTGAAAAAAGACCCATTTGTTTTGTAAATTTCTATCAATATTTGTTTCAATTTCGGCCGTCTCCTTTGAAAAGGATCTGAATTTACTTATATGTATATTGTATCCC